ACACTTTTTTACACATACACTTATTTCATCAACAAATATAACAACCATATTCTTCACTATTTACTTCAACAGAGCAGAATATTTAGGAGGCAGTACAGAAACTTTGCGGAACATTACTGATAAATCAGTTGGAAGGACTGGATTTCCATCTTTTGTTATCCACTCATTTTAACCTCTGGCACTCCATTTACTAACATGAAATAAATCTTTTTTACAAACATGAACACAATTTCACAGCTTGGACTATTTTTTATGGCAAGATGGGCTGTACTGACACATTGTCTCTTCCTCAGCACAGAGTAGAGAACAGGTTTAGTTGATTAATTTGATATCCTTTGTCAGCTTCAGACTGGTAATTGGACACAAACCCATGACTAATTCTTTCAGCCCTGACTTGTGCTGTATCTCAATATACTGCTCTCCTGCATACATATTTTAGTTTAAGTCAGGAAGTTGTATGGTTTGTCAAATGAGTGTATCATGACAAGCACCACACAGTCACACAAGTTTATTTGTGTGTGTGTTTTTGCGTGTGCTTTTTGTCTCTTTGTGTTTTGTCACGCTTTGGCACATCCTTTGTATTAGAATCTCATTTCTGTAATTGTGCATGTGTTTATGCACGTGTTTATGTATGTTTGTTCGGTTAAAAGGCTTGGCGCAGAGCAGACCTTTTGTAGTTGGAAGTATTGGGCACTTTGCCTAGCTTCTATGATTTATGGATGTGGATCAGAAGTGCATTAGCCTTCAGGCAGACAAAAGGAGGCTCATTTTCCCGTTGTGAAAATCAAAGAAAAATACCAGTACATCTAGCATTAAACTGAAACTGATAGAAGTGTCAAATCACTCTGACACCCATCCCACGCTGTCAGTCTATCAATAATTGTATCAACAGCACACTGGAGGAGGCAGGACAGCAAATGAAACAGCAGCATGGGAAGACACACCTCAGACGGATTCACTTTTGAACAGTAGGTGGCAGATCCCAATTTTAGGATTTATTTCGAAAAAGTTCAAAAGTATCATAGTTTAGCTCATATTTAAGGAGAAGCTGTGAGGTATTGGACAATTAACGTAAAGCTTTAAAACCGGCGGCTAATGTAATTTTTGATTGCTGTAACCTGATGGAGCATGTGGAGTGGAGGGAAAAAAAGGAGGAAAAATGAATATTTCAGAAATGCATTACATTTACATGCAGAAATGTGTACTCTATCAAATTAGAATTAGGAGCTCCTTAAAGAGATGCTATGAGCCATGAATGGTGGACGATTGAGCTCTTACCAAAAGAATATTAATGGGAAATTATATTCACTTGTACCTCCATTTCCTAATCAACAGCATACTTGACGGTAACACCAGACTAACGTGACCTATTTGGTTTTTCGTGAGGAGACAAGGATATCAGCACAGTTTTTCATTTTTTCATAAATAGTAAATAACGAAGTGCAAGGTAAAAGAAGGTTAATCATGGTAATAGTTTTTTTTTCTCTTTTTGCTAAACTGTTACTGTAAGTGACAGTCCCGTGTTTCTTTAGGAATAATAATCAAAGCAATATTCACAGGTACATATTAACATAAATGTGTACACAGGTGATTTATTATTTATTTAGCCTTCAATATGTACTCCCAGTTCACCAAGACATAAATAATGACTCATGAAGCTCACACAGCCCACTCTCTTTCCTCCTTCCTTCCTCCTGACTCCCATGATTGTTTTCTGGTTAGCCTTCAGCGTAAATTTAATCAACGCTTACTTTTGTGCCAGCTATATTCGTGACTGGGGGGATTTATGCTCACTTGCAGAAGGAGGGCGATTAGCTTAGACAAGGTTGGTTAATACTTCTTATTTGAATATCCCCTGCAGGTTCATAACACCTTTTTATTTCTAATCACACCTGACGCTAAAATACAGATAGGCTCATTTACCTGTGATGTAACTAAGCTCAGGGATCCATAAAGACTGTAAAGTTTACACTGTAAGTAATCTTTAAGGCTTTGTTGTCCTTCACTTCTGAAGGGAAATCATTTTGAACAGTTGTAGTAGAAGTTTCTCTTCATGCTTGTGCTTAATTAACTACGTCACTTGCAAGCTGTGATGTAAAGAGATATATGCAGAGATACTCTGACCCTTGACTGTTTAGTGAGAGTGGTCCTGATTGATGCCCCTGTCTAAATTTCCAAACATGTGGTTAAGGTCAGCAGTAAGGCAGTGTCTAGCTCCGACAGGCCTTAGGCCAAACAGCATTATAACACTTACTGATCCACACGGGAGTGCCATCTCTCATGCAGGATGACTTGCTTTTAAGGTCTGGAATTGTATAGAACAGGTGGTTTGCAATTCCTCAAGAACATTTGAAGATTTGGTAGTATTTGATGTAAAGTAGATGCAGGAACAAAAGACTTTCACAACCAGATGTAGTCTGAACAGCCATGTGCTTTTCAATAGTTCTGCACATCACTCCACACATCTTCAAAATGCTTTGTGGGACAGGACGCTGTATTATGATTTCTTTATCTAGATCAGCTTTGCTGCCATCATAAATAGTTTAAATATATATCTAAATGAATTAGACGTTTCCAGTGGATCTTGTTAGTTTTATGTCCATCACAAATATTCACAAACCGATTGTAAGACAACAGTAGATGGCTGCCATCAACAGATGGCTCTTATTTAAATGTATTCAAACAAACTATCCCCCCTTGCTCTTAGATTCTTGCTCTAAAATGTGTCTTTATGCCTATCTAGACTGAACTTTTAGTGTTGGAACAACCTCGACTTTCACCCTCTTCTTGCAAAGCCATTATCATTGATACAAGATGGACACTTAAAAGATGAAATAGTTCAACTTGCCCACACAAGCAAAAACACATTTTCTATAGGAGATATCTCAGAAAATATTTCAGAAAAAAGTAGTGGTGGCTCTCTACTTGCGACACCCTGTAGAGCCAAAAACCTTTAAAATGATGTTAGTGAATGCATGTTTAAACTTTAGTGAATGCACACAGTGTGGAAATTATTACATAAAATAGGCCACTGTTGCCTAAAATAACTCTCACAAGCAAGAGTGTGAGTCTGAATGAATCAAGTTCATTATGCATGAAAATGCAAACATGCAAATATTACTTTTTTATTAGCTCTGATTGACATCTCTGGGTATAATAAATCATATCAACCCTGGATGTGCCACCTGCCCTTTCACTATCAATGCGTAATGATGCTTTATAAATAAATGACTAAAGAAAGCTAAAGCTACTGTAGAGAAAAATACACAGCAGAGAAATAACAATTCCAGTAAACACATTTGACTAATCTAAATGCAGTTCTTCAGTTCCCTCTGAAGTATTGAAATTGAGTGTTTTGAAAATGACTGTTCTTTTTACAGTATGCCATGATTGTTAGGTATCCATAAAGAAATGCAGGAAAAAATATAAGTGGGACAATAGAGCACAAAACGGCAGCAATGCTTACTTCCAAGCATGCTGCCTCGCTGTAAACACTGGAAGATCTTCTGCTGTAATAACTCACAGAAACACCAGCCTTCTACAAAGTAGCTGACCGTGTAATCTCCGGAGTCAGGTGCAAAAGTCGCAGACGTTTAAGCACTAACCCTCAGTCCCTCGAGAATATATCTGGGAAATTCCAGGGCAGCGGTCCATGTGTGAAAGTACCTATTTTGAAAAGTGCTGCTCACTATCATCCTCTTGTTTTCAAACATTAAATCCAAAGAGTGTGACCAGAAGATGATTAAATATCTCTGTGAATGTGACAGTTAAAGGAAATGTATGACTGTATTACCTTGTTTCCTTTCACAAATAAAGGTCCAGTGAATCTCTATGTTAAAGAGGAGAGGACAGACACACCTTTTTTCAATTATTCAGAAAATCGATTAGCTCTTATCATGCCTGTCAGAGTGATACTTCCTGATCGTTCCTCTGAGTCTGTGACCCTCCTTAGCACAATCCATTTAAAAAGAAAATACAAGTTTTTTGTTTTTTTCTGGCTCCCAACAAACTTTCCTGTCTGAATATTTTCAAACATTAATGCTACTTTTCCAAAGGTACATTTTTAAAGGGTAAACTTTTAGCCATTGGGACTGCTTCGTAATAACTGTTGATCAGTGTAGAATATGATCAAGCTGGACTGATTTATGAATATCTGAGAAAAATGAAGTTGCTGTTTTTTACAGGCTTTCCATAGATTTGAAATGGTAGACAATGGCAATTTTGTAACAGCACATTGTAATTTAGAATTCAGAAGTCAGTCATTCGGTCAGTAGTAATTACAAACCTATGTTATATAATCCCCCCTCCCTGACTCACACATCAGCCACCTCTGTAGTGCAGCGCTGATTTACAACGTGTCAGGACTGGCAGCTGCTTACCCCTATTAAACTGATCACCGCATTCCTGGGGTTGACCATTAAATATGACCCATTGCCCCTCAACATGCACAAAACATACACCCAGATACCTATGTACACACATCCACACACACATGCAGACTCAAAACAACTGGCGGAGTCATCTAAAACTTGACAGATTTATCTTCCTCCTTTCCCTTTCTGCTTTGAGAAGGTGCTTGTTTTAAGAGCCACCTTTTTTAGGCTCCTACATGATCAAACAAACTGTGAATGCTGAGATGTGGTGTCTATGATGTTACCATAGGTCAGTATTGCAATTTGAACACCAGGCATTTAGTTAACTTGATGTTTCATTGTTAAAATTAAGGTGCTTTTTTTTACTGCCCAGTCAGGTTTTATTTAACAATCGAACAAGAACTGAAACGTCGATGAAAAGCAGTATAAGACACAAGGAGTATTTAGTTTTGTCTTGAAATCTTTTATGTTATTAACTCCAAAACATGTCACTCATTTATGGGCTGATTCCTGGATTCAAGATTGTGTTTTCCCGGATGCAGCCCACGGTATGACTGTCAGATTGCAGACTACAAGTGCTCAACACTGCTTAACTTAATCACATATTCTGTTGCCTTCAGGGGAAAGCTTGACTGTTTCCGTATTCTTGTTCATACCTTTTACACATATGGACTCTAAATTCTGGCATGGTCATCACTCGTCAGTAACTGCCACCTCATTCCTGCGCTGTGTGTCTGTCTTCATGCCTTGTCTGTCTCTGATTCAACAGGCTGCTGCAGCTTCACCCCCACCCTTCTTACCAACTTTTCTGTTTTTCACCACAGCCCAGGAAAGGAAGTCATTCATCCACTTTTGCACTCCTACCTCCTCAGATACAGACATACAGGGCACACACTCATTCTCTTTTAGTTAATTATCTCTAATTGCAACCTTTACAACGATACTTTATCCACTCTAGAATTAGTTTAACCTGCCTTGGATAGAACTTTTTTGTCTCCCTTGACTCTTGAGGAATCGTCTGGATTGGGACAATAATGACCTCAGAGGTAAGTGAAAAATGCACAGAACAGTTTTCGGGGCACATCTAATGCCTATTACTACACTATAATATGGTATTTAAAGCAGGAGTTATTAATCTTTTAATGCTCAGAGATCCCTGAAACGTAAGTGTCCTGGATCAAGTCCAACAGTTAAACAACTGGATCGTTACAGCCGCACTTCACACTTAGCATTTGTCTTTGAGTTGTCATATCTTAGATTGGAGTCAAATTCTTTTGAATGTACAGCTTATCTTTCTCTTTTTTTCCGGCATGCCTGTGTGCTTGTCTCTACGTGTGACCTACTGCATATTATATTCAGTCAAATGCAACAGGAGCTTAAAGGGAAGATGCATTATACAGTCATGTCGACTCTGGTAAGTCATGAATAATAAGCGCATATCAGGTTGAGAGAATAATGCCAGGAGATGAAACTATGTCAGGTGAATTGTGGGCATTTTCGTTCCACTCAGAGACTTACCTGTGTCGATTGAATGCAAATGAGAGAGACATTAAGAGAAGAGTCTGCAACTTGTGAACGATGTATGAAAGTGTGAGTGCCTTTATTTGTTAGTGTGTGAATTAGCTGTGGATCTGATGTGAAGCACCAAAGACATCTGCTATCAAACATTATAGTTCAGAGCTGTGCGACTGTGCTTGTGTGCCTCTTCACTGTCATCAGTTTCCCGCCTACAGGGATAATCCATCCTGTGAAGTGGTGAGGTGGAAAATGCCATTATGTAGAAATGGCTGACTTGCAGGCATACGAAGTGTGAGTGTGTACACGTGAGTGTGTATGAAAAAGCAGGATAAGGAACAGAGAAGGAATAATATGGCCAGGAATGGTAAACTTAATTTCATGGCATTATTTAATCCGCCTGGAGAAGTGATAAACTTAAGACCTTAGACACAATAAACATTTTGCCTCACCTGGCACTGAGGTGTCGAAGATCCAAGCCCCTAAAAAGTGAGACATGTACTATTGTGCAAATGTGTTTGAGGAGGAATGTTTGTTGACATGTCTGAGTGTTTGACCTCCATTGACTTAGATTTTAGGTATTGCACGAAGATCGTGAGGCATTGTTAGGAACTATCTCAGTGTCTGACATATATCCATCCACCCATCCATCCATCCATCCATCCATCCATCCATCCATCCATCCATCCA